AGGTGGTGTGGTGATGCTGACTTGGGATGCATGCATATCTTCCTAGTCAGAAAATACACTTCAGGATGAAGCTGTGGCCCCTTTCTGCCAGGTAGGTAGAAAGTGGCTTTCACGGGGAAAGCACATAACAACTGTGCTCTGGGCCATTGCAATTGTTCCCAGACATCACACTATTGTTCTCTTACCAGTGCTAAAGTAATCTTGAAAGGCTAACTGTGAACTGCTCCACATTTTTCTGCAAGATCTTTATTTGCTACTTACAGCACTGCAAGATATTCTAGGGGCAACCTTCCTCTTCCACCTCTAAGGCACTATGACCCCTCTCTGCCAAATGTCAAAACTGCAGTCACCTCCAGCTCCCCATTCTATCCATCTTGTCCTGTGGTAAAGCTCCTCCTCAGACCTGGAGGAGCTTTATGAACACAGTCTCTCTGTCTGTGACCGACTGTCAGCCTTATTCAATGCTGTGGGAATGAGCAGCGTTTTGATCAAGGGTCCTGCTTGCTTTGTCTTATCTCTATTGTCACTACTGTAAACCTGTGAGGACCCAGGTGTGGTGAAATTTTGACTGTGCTGTGGGAAAAAATGTGCAACTAAAGGCAATTTACTGCAGAAAGAGTTGGATGGATGTTTAGAAATCATAAAATAAAGCAGGATCTGCAGACAGTAGTGGTAACAGCTGGCATTTTGTTTTGTACACTGGAAAAGATTATTCATCATTAAGGGTTACCTGGGGCTGTCTTGCACTCATTGTACAGTAGTGATAGTAGGAGATGATTTGATGGTGACAAAATGGTTGCTGTCCTTGTCTGGAGTGGTAGCTCAGCAACTCAACTTCTGCTTATTCTTCTCCACATCAGCATTTTTGGCTTCTCTATGAAGAGATGTCCTTACAGGTTTTTTTTGCTGAGTGGTTCTAGTATCCAATATTGTTACTAGTAAAACAAATATGTTGAAAGCATGCATTTCACCAAACCTACAAGGTGTTCTTAATTTGTGCACAGGTTTGCTGTGTTTAGAAAGGAGAAAGCTCAGGCACAGTGAAGGTACAAAGTCGTGAAAGACTGAAACCCACAGTGAAGCACAGTAAAGCCCAGAGAGGTGGATGCCTCATCCGTGGAGGAACTCAAGGTCAGGTGGGATGGAGCTCTGAGCACCTGATCCAACTGCAAGGGCCTTTAAAGGTCCTGTCCAGCTCAAACAATGGTATGATTCTGGGAAGGCATATCCTGTTTCTGGGCTTTGTGTTTAGGGAAGGAGACCAGATGTTTCAGATAAATCTGAAAGACTTATCCCGTGATCTGGACATTTACCTGGGAATGTCAGGGTGAAGATGAGAATATTAAGTTCCCAGCAGACTCATTCAGGATAAAGTTTGGAGTGATGGCATGCACATTACAAGCAATTACATTAGTTCTTTTAAGCATCCAGTCACATTCTGTTAATGTGAAAAAATAGCCAAGAGAGCCTGAGCCATGGGAACCTCATTATCTGTCAAGAGCAGAAAAACTCATGCTCATACATGAGAAAATTCTATAGACAAAAGTGTCTGTTTAGGTTTGTGCATGCTGTTTTTAGCATTTTTCCATAATGATCACAAGTGCCTTACAAACAAGCTGGTATTGTAACATCATAGTAATTTTCTGAGCAGTGTGCTGAGGTGGTTGGAGCACCAAAGCAAACCAGATCTAATGGAGGCTCTGCTTGTTGAGCTATCAGAAAATCCAGAGTGCTCAGTCCCAGGGTCCTGAGCATATCCTGGCCTTTGGAAGGACTGGGAAGTTCCTGTCCTGTTTAGTATCATGCATTAGCAGTATATAAAAGTTTGAAATTTTAATCATATCTAATCATAAGAAAACCTGCTGTGCCCAAGTTGGATGGGATCTGTAATGATCATTGCATCCAACTACCAACTCCACAGAGCACCATCCAACATCCAAACCCTGTGTCAAGGATATTCTCCATATGTTCCTTGAACTCCCACCGCCCTGTGCATCCCGTTCCGTGCCCACCGCCCTCTGGTGCAGCCCCTTTCCCTGACCCCCACCCGCCCTCCCCTGACGCAGCTCCACGCCGTTCCCTCGGCCCTGTCGCTGTCACACACAGCAGAGCTCAGCGCTGCCCTCCGCTCCCTGGGAGGAGCTGCAGCCGCCATGAGGGCTCCCCTCAGCTCCTCTGCTCTGTGCTGAGCAAACACAGGGACCCTCAGCTGCTCCTCTTACATCTTGCCCTCAAAACCTTTCACCATCTCTGTATCCCTTGAAATCCTCCTGCATGCACTTCTGTGCATGACTACATCTGTATGTGCCATCAGTTGTAAGATTTTAGACGTGGCAAATTTAACTTACCGGGCCAGTAATATTTAAAAGTGAAAGCCTCAAAAGTGTTTTGGTTCTAGGATTTCAAAGACAGTTTGTGGTTTCAGCAGTGGCATGTGTATGACTTTGGTTTTAGTTTGGCATTAAGGAATTTAGGCCTGAACGGCAGCTAGAAATGCACATGGCTATCAAATATGTGGAATTTTCACATCCTAAAAAAAGGTTAAGAAAGCAGTGAAACATGAAGCAAAATAATTACCAGCTTGTAAAATTTTTATCTATGGCTCAGTTCTGCAACCAACAATTAACTGTTCAGAATGATGCAGCCATCTTGTACCAATAGCTACTGACCAACAGACAAGCACGTTCTATCACAGAAAATGCTACAGTTAGCTCACAAAATTAGTGAGACTCTTGTGAGTACTGCCACCTCCTCCCCTGTCCCTAGCATATATGCACCGGCTGGGGAAAGCCCCATGATCTTCACCATCTTCTTAAGCACCTGACTGTGCTCAATATCAAAGTGTTTTGCCAGAACCCTTTGCTGTGAATGTAAAATAGAAGTAGACAGGAACTTCAGGCTCAGAAGGGTAGGAAAAAGAGCCACTGCAAATTGGCATGTGAACATTTCGCTTCTTTGGGTTAGGGACTGTGCTAAGCATGGGTCATTCTCCAGCCAAGGACAGCCTGCAGCCTGGTGCTCCACGAAGGTGCAGCAATGCCTCTCCTGCTCTCCGACCTTGTTCTGTGAATGGTGCTCACTTCCCTGCCCTGCCCACATTCCCAAGCAGTGCCACTGACAGGCAAGGACAGCCCCACACCTCAGGGTTGCAAAGTGAACATTTTATTGAACTCAAGTTGATGCAGAACAGAAGGGCAACAATGGCTCAAATGTTCATTGACAGAATGCCCCAAGATGTTTCACGCACAGAATTTAAATACAGTTTGCATGGAAACAATTGAAAAAAGTTTTACAGTACTCTGAATCAAAAGGGAAGTCACAGCCCTGTTGTAAGCCTTCATGATGCTGCCCTCCCTTAAACAATTCCATATCCTTCCCCAGAAGAAGGCTACAGAACTTCTGGCCATATCCCTTTCCCTTCAGGTATACAGAGCAGAGCAAAACTTCTGAGAAGAATCGCAGTTTAAAGTAGCCATAAGTCTTCACATGAATCACCATTAACATATCCAGAAAGACTGGTTGTAACAACACTGTTTAAGGAAAGCTAACAAATGAACAAGATTACGATATCAACACTTTAATCCAAGTTGTTTAAAACTAATTGAAGCAACTTTGCTTCCAATACTTACACACGTTTTACAAAACGCTTTCAAATATTTCTACTTTTTGATTAGTGACAAGATCAAATGAAGACTTAGAAGCAGTCAGCAGTGATCTGCTTCCTATGATGGTTTAGAGCATAGCTACTATTTCAAAAAAGTTTTCTTTGGGCATCGTTTTCCCCCTACAAACCATAACATGGGAAACCAGTCCTCATAACTTGTGATTTTTTTTTCCAGACAGCTGGAGAGGGCTGATGCCCCCTCATGTCTCGATGTTGTTTGAAACCGCAGTGAGATCCAGCTTCCTTTCAGGAGAAGGAGCATCTGCTCCTCTCCATCAGTCATTTGCTCCAGACCTGTTGTAGTGTATCCCCAGCCAACATGCCGCCATCTGCAGTGCTTGCTCCTCTGAGCAAGCAGGACACTTGTATGGGGCAGGGCAATAAAGTCACAGGCCTAGAGTCAGTGGGTTCTTCCACATCTGCCAAACAGGAATGGCAGCTCAAGGGCAACAAGAGATACGTATTGCAAAATAGTGCCGTAAATTTACAGAGGCTGTTTGGTGTACTTGCAAGGCTTAAGAAATGCTTGATGCAAATGAGCAAAACCTTCAATTAAGGTCTTTACAGTAGCTTGTCAGATCTCATGGTGATGCACAGTGGTGGACCTCTCAAGTAGCATTAACCTCCAGCTGCAACAGATACACAGGTAGTAAACCAGAAGATGCATGCAAATACGAGTCAATCTTTTCACATAACAGGAGGAGAAAAATTTGTTAACTACACTAACCTCATTTTACATAGTGGTAGTACAACAAATACTAACAACACATTAGGACAGCTGTATACCAGTACTGAATGTCTCACAACAGCAGCTGAAGTAAGATCTGTACAAACAGTTTAGATGAAGAGCACTGCACTGCCAAAACACTGTAAGAAGCTTTCCATTGTTTCAATCTGAGAAGACACTTTGTTGAAAGCTGGGTTGAAATCCAGCTATCCAGTGCAGACGCAGCACAGACAAAAGCTCCTGCACTTAGACCTAGGCACTGCTGTCCGTGTGCCTCAGTGTTTGAGTCCAGATGAATGCTGCTCTTACCGTTAAGCAAGAGGTCATCCCTTCACATTGCCGTTTGAAATGTGGAGGTTAAGCCAAGGGATCCAGAATCAGCTTGGCCTCAAATATGTCATACAAGTCATGCAACAGAAAGAAATGCCTCTGCGAGCTAGTTCATCTTCACGACTGCAAGATATCTGAACCCACAAATTCAAGGCAAAAATTCAAATTCCCATTTACTTGAATGCATATTTTCAGACATTTTCTGGTTTACAATGATATACAACAGTTTAGATTAGTTTTTCTTTGTTGTTGTTTTTTGTTGGTATTTTTTTGTTGGCATTTTTCTGTGGGTTTTGTTTGTTTTGTTTTTGTTGTCTTTTTTTTTTTTTTTCCTAATGCTGGAGATAAAGTTTATTAGAGATACTACCACTATTTTGGCAAACATTCCAAAATCATATTTGTAAACATAGTGCTTCCCTTTTCAATTGGCTGTATTTTGAAAAGACAAACGTAAGACGAAGTAAGATTTTGCTCTATTCCGACCAGATAACCCGTGTTTTCACATGACAAAGCAAGCAATGATTTAAATCAAAATAAAATAAAAACTGCATGAAATGAAAATTTGTGCTGTTTTGTGATCACAGTATTTCATAGTTAAATACATCTGTTCTTTGTTATATTCCTGGCACCCAGGACAGAAATCTTTAAATATACATTTCATGTAGGCAATAGCTTCTTTGCATAACTCTCTTCAAAAAATACTTTATAGCAGTATATAAATAGGTAGCCTACATGTTTAGTTTTATAATCTTGCCCAAAAACTATATATCTGTTTAATTTTTTGTAAAGTATCAATTTTTTACCAACATTAATAAAGCTGACAAACTATTGAAATGGAAATGCTCTCATCTTCCACAATAGAAGTAGCAATTTTATAGGAAAAAATTCTAGAGGAACACTCGTCAGTTGTTTTAACCTGAGCGATGTCTGGCCTACTTAGAGTAGTTGGAGTAGCAGCTTTTTTTTTTCTTTTTTTTCCCCTCCTCATCATGCATGCTCACACCCACACATTTTTGCATACACACAGAACAGGCACACACTTTCAGACACCGGTAGGCCATGTAGTGCTTCCCAGGTGTTTCAGCAGGCGGGAAGCAGTGTAGCTAATAATTTAACTACACTAAATACACACAAGCAAACACCTTAAGGCAACCATTGCGATGGGGGGTTTAAGTTGCAGTGATGAGTTTCTCTAGTAACAAAGACGGGCTGTATATAGACTTATATACAACACCTTTTTAACCCTCCAAAACAATGTTTTTGTTTTTTGTTTTTTTTTCTTTTTGTGGTTTTTTTTTGTGCAAATTTCTAAACCTTCTACCATTTAAGGCAAAGAGTTTGCATTAACAAGAAAGGTCAGAAAAATAGCCTTATATTTATCCAAAAGTATTTCAGTTCGCTACACTATTTTCTTAAAATGTGCACAACTTCACAGTAGATGTACTGGGTCCCAGCACCTACTGATAAAATGATTTAAATGGACAAACATAAGTCTTGAAGAAAAAAAGGGACCAGAGAAAGCAGCTTCAAATATGCATATAAACAACATCAACAACAGAAGTAGTCAACTCAAGTAAACTAATACTGAAAAACTTTTGTAATGCAAAAGTTCAATCTTAGAATCTTAGAGCAACTCATATGGAATTTTAAATAAATAAGTTTCCATTCATTCACATATGCTGGTCTGAGCAGGAGACTAGTGCCGTAACTCTGATTGCTGTTGGTCAAATTCACTTATAAGTCTTTTAATGTGAGACAGCTTGTTATGGAGATATTCACATCTGTGTTTCTCTTCACGATAGTTGGGACTAGACTGTAAAGATAAAAAGAAAATTAGGGCATGAAAATATCTGAAGTTTAGTATTTCCTGCCCTTTGCTTAAGAATGGCCATCAGCCCATTCCAACAGTCTATAACTCCCACAGACCTGGTGCTACACATACCTGTTGTATCTTTCGATACTCTTCTAGGACTTCCTCATGAAGCATCTTAACAAAAAAAAAAATTGAAATATGAAAGCAATATGAAGAACATTTCATTACTACTAGAAAATACAACCAAATAGAGCATTAAAATGAAGTTTTACTCAAGATATTTTCTTATCCAAGAGTCATCACTGTTCTGAGTCACAAAAAAACACAGACTAACAAACACAGAACACAGCCCAGATCTGCAATTAAATCTGTAAACAAGCAACAGGAAGAAAATGCGTTTGAAGATTCCCTTTGTGAAGTCATTCACGCCACTGTAAAATACTTGCTTTCACAGAGAGCACACTTGGGTGGAGTCTTCAAATAAGGGCTAAATGACTTGTTGCATGGTTCTGTGAAGCCACAGAAGTCAAGAGTTAGCCAATGTAGGGTCAGACCACGTACATGAGTTCTGTAAAGCTTCTCTCCTTTGTTTGATTGAGCAGTACTAGGGATTTTAAAATACTCCCTGCGCTCACAAATACATTTGCAATCTGCTCAGAAACTTATAAAAGCTAGCCAGATGCTACCAAACATCCTCAGCACACACAGAGAATTTAAGAATTCCAGTACTGAGCATTTGGAATTTGCATGTCCAAATAATGTCATCCCAGGCTTGAAAGCTGGAATGCAAAGTTTTTAATACCCTTCTTTGCTAAAATTTACAGTTAGAAGCCAAATAAGTTTGTGACTGCACATCTTGTTAAGTATACAAAATAAACTTGTCCCCTTTAAACAATGGGAAATAGCAGGTCAGCAAAGCCTGGGGATTATGGTCCTTTGGTTCTTCTCCTTTCTCATCGGTGCAGCAGTACTCTCTTACTTCACCAGGATGCTGTGAGGCAGTCAGTAAAACTACAGCCAATCTGATACCTCCTAACATACAACTAGTTACTTGGTATCCCTTGGACACTTTAAAATCATGTCAGTGTAATTTACCGGATTACAGAACTGAAGCATCTGCTTATTCTGAAAATACAGAATTCTGTAGGGTGTAAAAGATGGAAATAAGACACAGTCTTCATGGTTTTACTCTTCTTTACCTGATATTCCTTGGACCCTGGAGAAAGCTGTTTTCGCTGTTCATCAAGCTTCATGAATTTTCTGGTGATACTCTCCATTCGAGCATGCAAACTCCTGTATTCATCATACTCTGCATTGAAGTCATCCTTATAACGCTGGCGTTGCTCATATGAGACTATAGCTATGTATTTTCTAGTAGAAAACACAAATGCATATTCAATCTTATACAAAAGACACCTCATGGTATCGAACAGATGCAGTGAGGGAGCGGTTAACTGCTGAGCTCTGCCCTACCTTACCTCCTCTGCAAGGAAAATTTTGAAGGTTAGGAACTGATTACTTTGTCTTTATCCAGAGACATTAACATTCAGCAGGATATACTGTGAGCAACAAACTGATTATGTGACAAAAGCACCAAAAGATTCTCAAAACAGAAATTCAGCTTCAGAAAAGAGCAAGGTCTCATAGAGACATAAACAAAAGACTGGAACTAACATATGCCTGCCCCATGCTGGAAGCCCTGCTGAGCATGACAATGAGGGAAGTTGATTTGTGAACTCAGGATTGCTGTTATAATTTGACTAGTCATGTTTGAATACAAATGGAATGGAATAGTTCGGTTTGGAAAGGACCTCCAGAGATCATCTTGTCCAACTGCCTGACCACTTCAAGGCTAACCAGAAGTTAGAGCATGTTATTCTGGGTATTATCCAAATGCCTCAAACACTGTCAGGTATGGGACCACCTCTCTGGGAAGCCTGTTACAGAGTTTGACCAGCCCCTTGGTAATGTCCTAACATCCAGTCTGAATCTTTCCTTGGCATCTTTGTGCCATTTCCATCAGATACCAGGAACACAGCCCAATGCCTCCCTCTGCTTCCCTTCCTCAGAGAGTGGCAGAGAGCGATGACATTACCTTCCAGCCCTCTATGGACTAGACAACCGAATTGCCCTCAATCTCTTCCCACAAGATATGCCTTCCACTCCTGGTAGCAGCTTTGTTGTCCTCCTCTGAATGTTTCTGAGGATCTTAACATCCTTTTTAGATTGTGGAGCCAAGAACTGCAAACAGCATCAAGATGAGGCTGCTCCAGTGCTAAGGCTCTCCTGTTACTTGTATCCCAGACTGTCCCAGACAAGGTGAGGAGCCTGGTATTTTCCTTTGTTGAACTTCACACCACTGATGACTGTAGTCCATTCCCTACAACCTTTTGAGCTCTCCTATTGAGACAGTTCATCACTCAGTGTGGTGTGAACCTGCTTATCTCACAGATCGACTGCTCCAAAGGCCTTACTTGAAATATAGAAAGATTACATCCACTGCCTTCTCTCCACTCATGAGGCAGGTGACCTTATTAGAGAAGGAGATGAAATTGTTACGGCAGGACTGTCCCTTCATGAGTCCACACTGACTGTGACTGATAATAGCTTCGTTCATTAACTGACTTCCTGTATCCCCTAGGACAATCTTCTCTGTAACTTTTCCAGGGACTGAGGTTAGATTTACAGGTCTGTAGTTTCCTATGCCCTTTTTGTAGATTGCTGTAATGCTGGCTAGTCTCCAAGTTCAGGCTAGTCAGCAGAGACCTCCCCAGACTCTCACAATCTTCAGAAGATGGTTGAGAGAAGCGCAGCACTAATGTTTGTAAGTCCTTCAGCACTCTGAAGGTGAATCTCACCAGGTCCATGGATTTATGAACACTGAGCTGCTGCAACTGTACAATATTAGGGACCATGGATGGAAAGTCATTGACTCTCCAGTCATGGTCCTCCATGTCAGAGGATCAGGCAGACAAAGATCTGCCATTACTAAAAATTGAGGCAAAAAGGTCATTAAATGCTTCCACCTTTTCTTAAGCCCTTTTGTTGATGACTTGTTGGTCACCTGTATCAACTATCAGTACAGTGTTTTCCTTTGATCCCCCTTTGCTATTGACATACTTGAAAAAGCCCTTTTTGTTGTCCAGCATCAATTCAAATTGAGCTTTTGCTTTCCCTGTTTTATCCCAGTTGTAGATGTAACTGAAGCTGTGTACTCTCCCCATAAATCCTGACTTTGCTGCTTGAGATTCTATGTTTTCTGCCCTAATTCTATGAGGGCTTCTCTGTTTAGCCAGGCCTGTCTTCCACTTTGTTTGCTTGCCTTGCAGCAGAATGGAATTGAGTTATCCTGGACTTTCAAGAGTTGATTCCAGGAAAGTGACCAGCACTCTTGGAGAGACTCTACAGAGAAAATTACTACAGGACACTGCTAACTAGCTGCCTGAGTAGCATCAGGTTTTCTTTCTTAAAATAGAGAGTGTTAACCTTTTTCTCCTTACGCCAAAAATTATGAAGTCAACTATTCCATGATCACTATGTCAAAGACAGCTCCCTATAGTCACCTCTCTCTGGTCTCAACCAACAAATCCAGGAGGTTGCCCTTCCAAGTTTACTCACTAAATATTTGTGATAGGAAATTATCTTCAACATGCTTTAGTATTATACTAATGAACTGTGTAGTTCTTGGAGGCAGAAAAAAGAGCTAAAATAAACTATCAAAATCCTTTAAACTGGATCAACCTGCAAGTTTGGTCAAGGATTCAGTCTTTTCCTCAAGACAAAGCAGATGCCTGAAGCAACTCTATGTAAGTTATTTCCAGTAAGCTGTAGCTAACAGGTAGATTATCTGTACAACTATTTGAAAGGTTGCTCCTTTCATGAAGAATTCTCCACTGAAGTGTTTACACCCAATCAGAACTCAAACAACTTGACGAAATCTTACACTATTTTTTCCCCTTTTTAGCAAAGCTTAAAGGCACCCAACTGAAATATCAGACTACATAACAGAGTTGTATATCTCTCTATGTGAAGACAAAAGATTTCAAGACATCTTAGAAAGCTCAGTATCATTGCCTTCAGAGTACATGGGAAGCAGATGTCAAAGAGCTGAATCTGTTTTAACCCAGGAAAGGTTTGGAATTAAACACAGGTTTGAACTCTCAGCCCAACGCTTCAAGCACTAAACTGTAGCTCTGCAAAACAGATTTACTCTGTCTACTTACATCATCTCACTGCAATAAATATGCAGAAGTATATACTTCTCTATTTTACAATATAAAGGATAATCCCTTCATTGAAAATTAATTTTATTATTCTTATAAAAAAAAACCTAAAAAATAAAATAATAATAATAATAATAATAATAAATAATTTTAAAAAAAAAAAAACAAGAAAAAAACAATCACAAAACCAAACATTTAGCAAACTATTGATTCTGCTATTATGCCATTTCAAATCTAGTTTCTTAACGCCTGTCTTACTGCAATGAAGTATGAAAAATTTCATTACATGGCAGGTAAATTTTAACCTTTGGGCATGTTAATGTGATGTGTGACTATCTGCGAAGAAGCTAAAATTAACCTTAACTGGGAATTCTTTCTTCGACTGCAAAGAGTGTAATACCCCAATCACTACAGATATGCAACATTTCATATACTAGTTCAGCACATTTGTACCTATTTCACAGCTATAATTAAGAATCTAAAATTAAAATTTGAATTGAAGTTTCTTTCTTATCTCTAGGTCTTCAGTCTATGATTCTGTTGTTAAATTGGTTGTTTTGCTGTAGCTTCCAATTATCAGAGGTCATTTACATAATCTTTAGAAATAACTTTGGTGGTTAACTCCTGCTAGTTCATATATACACACTTTGTAATGCTGGACTTTAAATTTTGCTAATTTTCCTTCACCACCTTCCCAACATAGATGTACTAACAAGATCTTCATTCAAACTTTGCATACTCAGTACTTTGGCGTTCAGCTCTCCTTTTGTCTAAAAAGAAAGCAGCACACACTCTAATGCCTTTTTATTTTGGTCTTCAAGAAGAATGACATTAAATGTGTTTTTTTTTTCTTTTTCAATCTGCCAAAGCATACTAAAAATTGTTTTTAACATTTTTTTCTCTCTCAAAATAATTAAAGGACAAGTTCAGATTTCAAAACTTAACTTAAATAAGGCAACCAGTTAACTTAAAATGTAGTTTTAGAGTGATGGCAAGCTCCTTTATAGGAAACTGCCATTATAAATGAATTTGTTGTTATTCTCCAACTACATTTTGGTAGTTTTTTCAATTTTGTAACTAAAGTAGACTTTGTATGGGTGATTTTTCAATCGCTTCAATAAATAACAGGAGATTTAATTATCACTTTACTCACTTGAAGTAGTCTGGTAGTTCATTTGTTGATGAAGGAGAATCTGTGGAGGCAGCGCACGTTTTTTCAACTCCTACAGAAAAGCAGAAGTTTTGACACTTGTGATAAACAGATTTTTAATATAGCCGAACAATAAGAACCTAAGGGCTGGAAAAAATCCTATAGAGTTCTATTCTGACAGTAAATTACTGCAAACAAGCTTTGTATATTAACAAGGCTCATATGACCTTCTCCACAGTACACAGTACTGCAGTTCAAAAAGAGGGAACGGCTAGTTTATTTCTCAGGTTCAGCATGACCAAAGCATTAACCAGAGGTCAACTTTTATTAATTCAAGACATAACGTGGCATTTGCACAGCAATTCAAATTGAACTGCTTGAATAGCTGCACAATTAGATAGCTTGATTTATACCAGCATTCATGCTGCAGAGGACTACAATATGTACACTAGAAAGTTGAAGTTCTTTTTATGCCACATTTTTATCCTTCCTTCCCTGCCCTTTTTGGACATCCAAAGTTAGATTTAATTTCAGCACTCTTTTATGCAGGAAAGTCAAGACTGTTGTGTATGGTTACTGGCACTCAGGCTTCAGTAAACTGCAACAAAAAGATGTTCCTCACTAATGTAGCTATACCAAGTTTCCAAGTTATTTGCACTTGCAAATTGCCCTTTCGATGACATTATAAAAGCACCTCTATACCCTCTAATCAATTTAAAGAAATATTTCAAGACCCATCTACCTTTTTGATAAGTAAGAACAGCTGCTTTAAGGAAAATTAAGTTGTAACTGGAATTAGTGGTTTTTTTTCTTGTATCTTATCAAACCTCTGCCTTTTTTTTTCATTGGTGTTTGTTGGAAAGCTTAAAAAACAACAAAAAAAACCTCTCTAATAATAATAATTATCTTACACTGCCACTGTCGAAGCACATTATTTCTGCTAATGCTCAGCCACTTTTACAAATCTGTAAGCCACCTGAGCAAAGGCAGGGGAAAAGAGTTATTTTACGATGTTCTACAGATGATGATTACATTTAATGTTAAAATTATAATGCTGAAAGCAGGAAGCATAGTAAAAAAGTAGTACATAAGTCAGAACAATATCTGAGAGAAATGCAGCCAGTAATGTTAACAAACACTACTTCTGTGAAGAATTTTGCTTCAAGCATTTTACTTCCAAGAACTCAAACAATATTTGCTAAAATGGCTCAGCCCATTTAAAAGCTTCAATGTAGGGGTCAACATTAGAGTTACTACAGATTTTTTTTTCCCTAGCCATTTGGAGTTATATTGCTGGAATCTGGAGAAAAGTGCTCACATGTTGATGAAGTCAAAATATGTTCAAGGTAATTTCACACCACATGTGGACATGAAGCAGTATAACAAGGGCCTGTGGGAAAACATCATCTCAAAGCACTTTTTCTATGTGCAGAAAAATACTTCAAAGGGGCACCTTGCATGCTCTATACCTTCAAGCTGTGACAGCTAAGGGTCAACCTGACTTCTAGCCTGCTTTAGTAGTGAGTTCTGTGGCTGTTAAAGCCAAAACTCAAGAAAACTGTATGTCAGGTTATGTACGTTTTAGATTTTCCATGAAAATGCAGATTGCCATGAAACTTGTATTTCAATGCATGATCACATACATTTATGTCTGAACTGTGTGTTTCAGTAAACTACCATGATGCCCCTGTATGTCAAACTTTTCTAATTTCTAATTCTATTAATGTGCAGGTTTTAAAAACAGTTGATTAAAAAACATGCAGTAAACTTCAATAAACTTTCAGTTTAATGTAAGTCAAATAAAAAAACAAATCCATTACCTGTTTTTTTTCTAGCACCTATGCTTTCCTTTTAAAGATTTACTTTTCAATAGACACCCATGGAATATTTCCTTGTTCTAATGATTTCAGTACTGCAGAGAGAAAATTCTTTAAAATGTACCCAATTTTAGATAATGCTCTAGCAAAAAAAGTTCAGCCTCTGCTTGTTTGGTAGGCTTCGTTTATTTTGTTTTATTTTATTTAGCTAGTTTCATAAAGAAGAAGCTGGTAACTAAAATATAATGAGAGAGGATACAACAAATTATTTCCTAATCCTTCGTTATCATAAAGTAAGAGATAATGGTAAAGAACTTAAAATACAGCAGGGGAAAAAGTAGATTATTCATGCTTCTAGTCTTTGTTCTTCTAGTGTCTTTTCAGAAGGCCTATTCATGCAATAGTTATGAGAAGCAGCATTTTAATACCTTCATCTGACTCCAAACCAGAGGGGCTTTTCATCATGGCAGTCTCCTCTTTTCTAAGGTCCGTTTTGCTTTCAAGTAGTCCTTCATCTTTCTGCTCTCTTGTAGTGTCCTGCTTTTTGATTTGGTCCTTCTCCTTATGCTTTTTGGCCTTCTTCATGGACTTCTTGCACAACACATCTTCTTCACCTGCAAATGTGGGATGTTCCAATTTACCAGCGGCAGGCGCTGGGGTTTCCAAAGGAGTCCGAGAGGTATATTTTTCTTGCTGGTGCTTGAAGACACTACTGCCACTTTGGCTGATGCTATCTACAGGCAGATCTTGCATCCCACGCCCCTCAGGTGTGCTGGGGGAGATTGAGCTGGCAGTCTGGGGCGGATTGGAGGCAGGCAGGTGGGCGGCAGGCAAGGATGGTGGGGCAGGTGCTGCAGTGGCAAGGGTTGCCTTCTTGCTGGGGGCAGGTGGGGGTCCACTCAAGGACGGCTGGACTCGACTGTTGAGGTGGGAGATCCTCGGCTTCTTGTTCATCAGGGGATCAATGAAGTTGAAATCCAAGAGCCGTTTCTGCAAAACGAAATGGAGTAGTAGCGTTCATTTCAATGAAGAACACCTACGAACAAGCAGCTGTTGAACACAGATCTACCAACTAAAGAGGAGACAACAAAGAACATGTTGAAAAAACAGTTCTGCTGCAGCTGCCCCTCCAGCTATTTTGTCCAGTTGAAACATAGGTTCATGCTTTCCTCAACAAGCCTGTTGTGCTTTTTCTTGGTTTACAAGGTGGCACCATTTTTAAACTAAGCACTGGGCACAGTTCTGTGCCATCTAGTTGTAACACATAGAGGTCCACAGCACACACACTATGATGCTGTTTGACAGGATGAAAATAAGGGAAGAATAGGTGTGCCCGTCGTCCACTTTTAAACTCATGTATCTTAACAGTGTGAGACGCCAAGTACTTTACAATTTGTCATTACACACAAGCTCTGGTGTACCTAAATGTCTTCAAATTTCAGTTGTTATGAAAATACAGTTTCAAAGAAAGTGTCGTACTTTTCCTTAAAGGAATGCATTTCATATGGATTTTTTCAAGCCACTTCTGAAGAGTTTGTATTGCACTTTTTTATTGATAGCAAAGCAGGACGCAAGTATCTTAAGTTTGAAAAGGTTGGAAGAAGCCTGGACCCACTGATCCAGATCTCCCTTTTACCCTCCATCATACTGGGTAGCAAGAAAAAATATATACCGCCACACAGCAGATTGCAACTGTAATTTCTGCTTATTCTAGCTTTTCCTAAGCATTATACTTAAACAGCAACATAATTATGTTTGTGCATCTTTGATCATTTTAACTACCACACCACAAAGAAACTTGAATACATGCAATCATACAACAAAAAATATCTATACATTTATAGTTTTCAAAATGCCTTCCTACACACCAAGATGAACAAATCAAGGGGCAATACAAAACAACTTTAAGATTTTAATCAGAAAGTACATGATAATAATGGACAGCCAACAAGTTTAGCCTCTACAGATGAGCTATCTCTTGCAAGGGTCAGTGTGCTATTGATAGACAGGTGCTATGCTAACATCTCAGCTCTTCAAACACTACAGGGATAGTCTCTGACCAGTCTAGACGTATTTACAAGAGAGCAAGTACACAGGAATTCTGTCTTTCCAAAGATTCCGAACATTCTGAAACACGGAAGACTAAACATGGCAGCTTTTAGGCTATGTTATCATTAAGTCTTAAGGTCTTTGACAGTGCAACCATCTCAAAAAATAAAACCAAAAAAGCCCATAAGTATCCATCTAGAAGTAAATGCTTTAGTTTTTCATACGGCAAAGATAATACGAGTGCTCTGTATTATAGATTTTATTCCAATATAAAGCAAGTTAAACCTTGGTACATTATAAATAATTTTTAAAAGCCACAAAATACCTGGGAAGGAGAAGCTGATGCAGCATCTTTACTAGAAGTTACAGGAGATCCCAAATGACTGGTGCTGGTGGTACTCTGAGATGAATTTACTTTTCTGTAAGGATTACCCACATTTCAGGTTACAAGGCAAAAGTATCCATGTCATAGTCCTTTTATTATTGGCAAAACACACAGTTTCTAAAACTGTTATTTTCTTTCTTCTACAGCATGAGACCAACCTGCTTTGTTTTTGTTGCCCTCTTTTTTGAAGTTTTAATTTAAAAAATTTAAAAATAAAAGTTTTGTTACTAGCATACATTAGCCATATTATATGTTTTATATGTGGCCCATGACAATTCCTCTTTACTTAATGCAATCCAAGAAGTCTAACTAGATCTCCACATGAGAGAACTGAACTTACCTAGAAAGTATTAACTCCAATGTCTGTTTATCAACTTCATTGTATCCAGGCCAGTCTTTCTGAATGTCTTTAAATAAATAATCCTTCAGAGTATAAGAATTATCCTTGGGATTCAAGTTGGCTACCTAGACATTTACAAAAGAGAAAAAAAAAAAGACATTTATACCTAAAGGTAAACCACAGTAGTAATGTACAGCTAAATCAAACAACATAAACAAAATCAAGCACCATTTTTATAGCTGAAATACAAAGTAGTTCTCATGTCATGTGTGCTGATCCTCAGAAATGTGGTCAAATTTGGATATAAAATTTTGGATGTAAAAAATCCCCAAAAGATGCGAGCTTCTATGAAATTGTACTCTTAAGAAAAACTTTTCTCTGCATCACATATCTCTGCCTTTAAATACAGCTACGCCAGAATGAAATATGTGGAGAGACCTGTGCTGCTCAACTTCAGGATGACATCAGCAATCCCTGTGTTTGACAGTGCTGCACTGCGTTTGCAGAGCACAGAGTTCTTGGAAAATGCTTCTTTCACCACCTCAGTGACTGCAGAAGGAGCAAGAGAAGCTTTATTTGCCATCACTTGTCTTGTAAATACAATCAATTTTCTTTTTCAGGTGACTGCGCCACAAGAAACAATACCTTTCTATTGAAAAAGCTTACTTGATAATGAGAAATACACTTATTCATTTAGTATAAAGAATAAGTTTTCACCCATTCCATTAGTTTTAAGACGCACTGGCTGTTTACGGGTGGAAAAAATGTAACCGCAGGAATACTTATCAAGATCTATTTAGGAATCAAGATGTATAGCTAACAGAGTGATGTACAGATGCATTCTTTCTCTTGCAGGCAGAGAGCTGACTGAAGCAAGATGCTATCATGAGAAAGTTATGTGCCTCTGAAAATAAGTTTCTTTGTTTTTTTAATCTTCCTTAAAAATAACACAAAGTATACTCAAAAAATTCAAGCTATCTCTAGCAAAATCTCATGACTAGTGACATCCAAAGCACTGTTTCAGGCTTCCTACTCTGATACCTGCTCAAACTTTCAGAGAAAATCTCAAAGAAGAATGTCAATCCATTTGCCTCATACAAAATGCTCCAACACTTTGCACCCACCACCACCACATTGCGCTGCCTTGAGCATTTTCTCTCCTGTAATGTTTACTATTAAAAGGTGTGAATGCTGATGCTCAATGAAGGAAGATTTGAATGTGCTTGTGGGTTAAGCATTCTTTATGTTTTGCTGTCTTTTCTGACACATTATTGCACCTGATTTTAATTTTATTGTGGATAAATACTGCTAATCTGTGTGTGTTTCTCCTCTGCTTAAAAATAGTTCAAAGTAAACAAAATATGGTGAATCTGTAAACTTTGTTAAAAACTGAATTAAAGCTGCATTCTAAGATAATGAAATATATGCATATGAGAACACAGTTTTGGTTCCTGACTTTAGGCTCCTAGAAAACTAATAATGAAGACAAGAAAAATGTCAACAAGCCTTTCTACAGTGTAGTGCTGCTAACTTGTTTATTTCTGAATGTAAACTAATACCTTTACGCAACTCACACCACATAATAGAAAGAGACTCCAAGAAAGTCTCTAAACATTGCCAAAAATAATGGAAAAAGAAATGATTGTCATATTTTTTTTTACTATAGCAAGCAGAGCTTCAGAAACTTAAAATACAAAATTAATTATTTATGAAGTTGATTAAATTCATATGTAAGAACCTGGCTCTTTAAATTACACATCTTTGAGGTTATAAAAAAAAAAACACCCTATCGTCGTTCTGGACAAACTAAACAATACTTAACTTATTTGAACAACCACTGTTTAAAACTCAGTGCAGTATCAACTAAAACTGCATAAATATTGAGTTACTCACTGCAGTGATTTTCAAAACTATTCTAAATACACAGGAAATACTCCTACTTTACATACACAATACAGTCATCAGTCTGTGAGAACAGGTAGTATTAAAAACATTACATGTTATCTTAATGGGCCTTATCAGAACTATTTCGTTAAAAAAGTAGCAGTATGTGGCACACTTGAACACAGAGCTTAGAAATCTCATCTACGTCATGCAGCAGGCCTACTGGTGATTTTTATGAATATGATACAGAAATGCAATGGGAACCCAGCTCACTGGGGCACTGGAAAAGCTAGTATACAGGGAAGAAGCCTGCAAGAAAGACAAGGACAGAATCCATATGATAGCAAAGCAGTTTTTTGTTTTTTGTTTTTTTCCCCAAAAGAGACCACTGTTTTTCTCATTTACTGTTTGCTAAGACTGTCAGATACCAAGAAGAGGCACTGACCATATAAAGGCCACCAACTACATACATGTGAAATAATAACTTAGTTCATTATTGGACTTTACTCTGTGTAAGTTTGGGGCAAGAAATATTAAGTACTAAGAAGAGCTACATCAAGCAATTGAGAGAAAGCATGGTCAGGTTCTCTTAATTACCTAGTTCAGCAGTTTCTTTTTAAACAGAGGGAAGAAAAAAAAAGAAGGCATTAGGAGCAACAAAGCTAAAAATAGTTAATTGCTGCCTACCATCCCAGCAAAACAAAACTACCCCCACATATCTTTTAATCTTTTCTTCCCTCACTTTGACTTGCATTTTGAAGCACGTGCATAAAGTCAGCTGAAACACTTAAATGGTGAGAGGATTATTTAAGGTGTTTATTATTTTCTCATTTAAACATGGGAGTAACACATCCCAAAATTATGACTAAAAGAATAGCAGGAGTAAAAAAAATGCTGGCAACCATGATCTCACCTGCTGCAGGATAGCTGTAAGAGAATTCCTGTCCTTCAGGTTGACACCATCTCTCTGCAAACGAGCAAGTAACTCTGGTTTCTTGTAGGTCTTCAATGCCAGTAAGTGAATCACTCTGTCTCTGTATGGTCGCTGAGAAACAGCATTGTTTGCATGAGTCCTCCGTATTGTATTTGCTGGGTTTATGGGTGTTGACCTCTTCCTTTCAGGCACAGGATCTGGAATGCTTTGTGGTGCTTTTCTTATCTGTACTCTTTTTCCTAAATTAAGGGTTTAAAAAAAAAGAAGTTATATGGGAGTTTGGGAGAAGAAAAGGAATTTGATTTTAAAGAGATTACCAGGCCAAATAATCTGCAAGAACTGGATTTGGTTAGCATTTTAAGATCCACTGGTAATACACAGAGTGAAGATGCATTAAGGTAGGAATTGAGAAATTATTCAATACAACAAAAATCAGGTAAATCGGTTATATTGTTAGGAAGACTTTACTGTAAATTTAGTAAATGCTGATTTTATTATTTTTCCAGTCTATGATCTTAAGCACTGAATAAAATAAATCAGATTGTTTTTGGAAGAACACAGTTTGAAGAAAAGGCCTTCTATATAATTAAAGTGTTCGTCATTAATGCCAAGGGAGACCACGTCTGAACAAATAATAGCACTGCAGCTCAAAGAGACTACCAACCTGACGTCATCGCCTGACCTACTTATTTGAAAAAGAAAAGTTCTCCCCTCTTATTACATATGGCCATACACATGACATCAAGTGGGGCAGAAACAATACACAAAAAATCTAACTGTTCTTGGAATACATGACAAAGAAGTTTCAAAAGAAAGCCTGCAGAGCATTTTGGATCAAATTGTACAAAAACACATATTTCTCAACTGAAAGAACAATGCTTGCAAACAGTGAATCCAGAATGTTACAGCAACAGCAGTCAACCATTAACCTGAGTTTCCCAGGAAAAGCCCTCAACTTCTCCACTCCATTTTTTAATAACATCTGCTACAATAATGGATGTGAGACAAACTGCATTTTTCAGATGTTAACAATTCGTGTTTGGTACATAAGGGAGGCTAGTGAATATGTGTCATAAGAACTGAAGCTCTACCACTCTTCCAACAGCAATGCTTGGAATTCAGGAAATTTCTGTAGTCACAGGAAAGAGAACAGCACATAGTTGTGTTTATACACTGCTATTCCCAGGAACAGTAAAGATTTATTGCCATTTTGCAGAAAAGGCCAAATCACTATAATCTTTCAATCTCCAGTTTTTGGCTTTCTGGTTTTCAAGAACAAACCTAACCACAAAAAGACACATGATATGTTTATGGAGCAGCATGAACTTGCCAGTTGTGTATTAATGCATTTGATGTGTTGTCACAAGGTAAACACAGTTTAGATAAGCATCCCTGGCACTATGGATAGTGTATGTGGCATTCAAGCAAGCACCTTAAGTTATGTCTCCGAATCACTTTGAAAAAAATCAACTGAAAACATAACAACATATTACCATGAGTGACAACCTCAGCTCCCCATCTATGCTGTGTGAAGCATGCTGAAAACCACCCTCCATACCTCCGCAGCAATTTAACCCTATCCTACCTTATCTTTGCCTGTGCCAGCCTGAAAAGAAGCATCCCCAAACACCATCATTCTCCTGCTGCTCATCTTCAGACCCCATTTATTTAACTTTAAAACATTCACTTGGAGCCTGTTCAAGCAACCATCGCAAAGAACACAGATATCCATGTGAAATGGAGCTTCTCCAAGCAGAATGTTGTTGCAGAATGCAGTGACATGGCACATCTCACCTTGCAGCCTGGACAGTGCACATCCCAGTCCCAGTATTAACCCATTCCCAGCTCTATACCCACAACAGAAGCCACTTGCTCTTCATTTTGCAATTCTAAGAAGGTTCTGCAGGCAGAGACACAGGAGCATGCAGCTTGCCATGGCAGGAGTGTCTATGTCTGCATAGTGACAAAGCCCAGCACATGCTGGCTTTTTCTGCACAGGGACTGATGTGGCCTGTCTAGCTCACTGCCATGTCCAGCCCCAGCACTGTGTGCTCATCGAGACTCGTATCTCCATTCTCCTTGGAGAAACAGTACTCAAAATGGTTTAATGATGCAGTCTCGCCTACACATTTTGTTCTGTGCAAAATGATGAAATCCACATGCAGACGACAGTTATTTTTTATGGGAAAAAAATACGGTTTTAGAGTAACAACAGCTCATCCACGATAAAAGCATAAACAAAATCTGATTAACATGTATGAAAAGCACGTTTTTCGAAGCAAGTAATTGAATTGTGTAAGAGATGTCCTTGAAGTTATTTTTCCTTTTTAATTACTTTTACAAGTACTGGTTTAACACTGTATTCTAAAATGTTGCTACAGAACCAAAAACATTAGTTACTAAAACAGAGAAGGTATGTGTATGGGAAGATAAAACCCTGCACTTCAATGGTCAAAATTTTTACCAGCCAAGCAATAATAAGGAAGGAAGAGCTGGCAGGCTTTCCAGAGGAAAAATAAAGCCAACCCTTAATGCAGCAACAGATTTTAAATCTGCAGTATGATAGTGAACCACCTAACGCTGAGTCTTTTGAACACATAAACTCTGCTGACAGTATGATGAAAGGACCAATTACTAAATTTGAAAACTTACAGACATCTAGTAGAAAAGGAAATACAACCATACCTAAATATGGTCCACCAGGCTTAATAACCTTTGCACTTCGATTGCGTAATTCCTCTTCTGCTTGGGTCATGCGCTCTTTGGTCATCTGATAGGAATCATTTGTTGCACATACTGTAATTTTATTCTGTATAAATCCCAGGCTACTCAGTTGTGAGGCTCCAGAACTATAAAAACATTGAGAAAAAATGAGCCCAAGCACTATTTCAAGTCTAGAAGTATGGTTGTATAAAAACCTAAAAAGCTGCTCTGTCAGGCAAAGAAAAATGTTTTTCAGTTCTCACCACTAGGTAATATATGCTTCAAATCATTCTGCAAACCAAACATCACTGTTTTATCAATGTTATCTGTCAATATATTTACAATATTCTCCTATAATCGCATACAGGAGGCAAGCTCAGGATAGTATGAGTTGCTACACAAAAAACTACTATAAACTACTCAGATTACAATGCAAACTGAAGTAGACTGACATCCAAACTATAAGCACTATATGTCTGTAAGCAGGCATGCCCAACCCGCAGCCCACAGGCCGCAGGAGGCCCAGCACAGCTGGCAGTGTGGCCCAGCCCCTGCCCTGCGCCATCATGGAGGTGGCTTTTCACAGTGGAGCAGCCCCAGGCACGCACCCATTGCTCAGCAACAACCTAACTACTGGTGTGCTATTAACGCTGTGTCGACTGAAAGCAAGCAAGGCACCGGGAGGGCAGTGCTGACTCAAGTGAAGGCAAATAACTGCTAAATACAGGGATCTGAACAGTGAAGAATGCGCAGCTGTGCTTTCAGTTTTGATAAAGGAGTTTGAGAACAGGGTTCAAGTCTGCCAAAAAAGTCATCAGTTTATGTTTGTGACTCCATTTTCAGTTGATACACATACATTACCTGCAAATTTTCAAATGGAACATAGAGAGTTGCAATGAGACATTCAACTCAAAAATCTGATCGTGCCTCTTTTCACATTTCCCTTCTTACACCCCTTGCCTCACAATCATACTTTATTCAGCGTCATTGCTTTTTGGCAGTATGTATAGTTGTGAACAATAACTTGCAAGGATGAAGCACACGGAGACGAAAATTTCATCAGAAATCTCAACTCAACGTTTTGAGAGCTCACTGAGAACTGCAACCCCTGCCATCGAACTTGACAAAAACATAGTGAAACCCACTAGTTTTATGGGTTTTGTTCCTCTCTCTCTTTTTTTTTTTTTTTTTTAAGGTTTTAATAAATACATTAAAATTCTTTGTTATTTATGCATTAACAATATTGTATATTTTACAAGAGCTGTTCTGAAAATAATACCTCCTATTTTACAATGTCAGAGGCAGATGGTGGTGGTAGAGCAGCAGAGGTTGGACTTTCCTGCCAGCATCCCATTACATGTTGTGTGACAGATGGCAATAGAGGACCAGTCTGACAAAATGGCATCTGACATGGAAGTGCAGATGCAGTAAAGGTGTGTGACTGAAAAAATGGTACCCATTGACATTCATCAGCACTTGCTGAATGTTTATGGAAACCAAACAGTGAATGTGAGCACAGTGAGGCAGTGGGTGCTGTGTTTCACAAGTGACAACAGTGACAGTGGGTCACCTCTGCTGGTGCAGATTTCTATGAGTGCAGCAGGCAGGCTCTTGTTTATCGCTGGTGAAAAATGCACAGCTAATGGTGGTTACTGTGTGGAAAAAGAGTGTTCAGTAGTTGAGAATTTGCTCTATTAAATAGTGTTATTGTGCTCTTTGTATCTATTGAGTTTCCATGGAAATAAATAGGAGGCATTATTTTGGAGTAACATATAAATGTAGCCCAGTACAATTCCTTTTCACTCAGTGGTGGCAAGAAAAAGTTGGACACCCATGCCTTAGAGCCTTCTCAAGTTATGCTCAGCATTTAGTTAAACACACATTTGAAAGTCACCTGCTTCCTCTGCCTGTCAAAGGCAGAGGTCTTGCCCATCATTGCTTTAGTCCCTCTGAGGTTCAAGAGACGTAAGCCAGACTTTCCCTAAAGCTTGCATGCTATTTGCTATCCTGAACTCTCTCAGGATCCCCTGCTGACTCACTGTTTGATAGCAACCTGCAGCACTTGTGGTTTAACTATCTGCTTCTCTGGGGATGTGTATTTAAATAAGGGACACTTAGACCAAAGCCCCAAGCAACAGGAAAGAATGCAAGACCAGATATGTGTCTCCTCAGCAAAGTGCAGGTGGGCATCAGGTTTCTGAAGAAGCACAGTCCTCTAGGAATTCTGCCTTGCATTCACAGCAGCTGCAGACATCAGCAGTGGCTTATGGTCAGAGGCGTCAACAGTTCCAAACTAAGTGAAAAGGGAGATTTTCCCCAGAACTGCGTCCTCATTTCTCCTGGATAAGTTTAAACACATTTTTACAGTGTAATACTCTCAGCCAGATGAGCACACATGTAGCCTAGATTTCCTATATAGCCTAATAGCAACTTAATTTAGTCTGGTTTAGTGACTATGGCTGTTAACAATTATTTTGTGCAGCACTCACCTCAGCAACACCTCCGAACAGAGAAAGGATGCTAGGCTGCACTAGAGCAAAACATTCTGGAGAACCCTAAAGATGATTTGAATAACCTAGTAAAGGTTCCATAAAAAAAGGCTGAGGAACATTTGGCACCTTGTTTCTTAATTTACCAAGTTGTTTCTGAAAGTCACAAAGGTAGACCAAGCCGAGTCACTGCACAGTATTTCAAGATACAGCTACAATTTCGTCCAACCAAAGCTCAGAGCTGTATTTTTTGTATTATTTCTTGCTCAGAAATCACAGCATTTACAAAAGAAAATAGTTCTTGCCATTTAGAGCACAAATTCTACCTACTGCACATTTCCTTGAACATTGCTGTCTTTATACACCATAGGAACTGAACAGTTCAAGAAGGACCATCACCAACACCAACGCATCATGCACTGGTCAGCAGCATGTGGTACGCTACCACCATGTAGGACTGTAGTGGCCTGACATGAAGTCAAGAAGATAAGGAGTTCCGTGTGGCAGTCTTAGAGCATAGTACAGCTCCCAAACCAGCTCTAAAATATTCCAGAGCAAGAACAGATTGAACAGAGCTCAGAACAGGCTTACACCATGGGAGCTTCTGAGCACTGACCAAGGGCACTGCGCAATCTACTGCAGAATAGGCTGCAAAACTTAAGCCAGTTTTGAAGCCAGACCCACCTTCAGCAGGAAACCAAATACTCTCCAGAGGTTCCTTATGAATTATTTTTAAAAATGATTCTGCATTAAATACTTTGAACAGACCAAGACCTGACTACAAAGAAACAAAGTGAAAGCTCATCTGAATTAGATTTTGCAGAGCCACATTCAAACTATGTAAGCATATTATTCAGAATTATTTCTAACTAAAAGTTCTTAAATTTAGTCTTACTTATAAAATGAATTCAGTTTAGTTTAACTGAATCTGCTCCTTCCCAAGCAACAAAGAGCCCACAGAGAGGCTTAGTGAAACACTGGAGTCAGACTTGAGAACCCTAAAGAAGGAGCCTGATGCGGTATCTCTCAGAAAAAAGATTTTTATGAGTCCTCCACAATGGCTCTCCTTAAGGTCTCTTGCAGATTTTCTAATTGGGAGCTGGCAGCAGCCTCGGTACACTAGCAGCTGCAGTACATGTGCAGAGCTTTCAATCAGACAAAAGAAAGAAGAAGCAAGACCTCTCAACTCAACATGCACTCCTGTAGGCTTACTTTGTACCTCAGCAGATGTCTGACCCCTTTCAGACACAAATTAAACAAAAAAAGAAACACCAAAACACACCACTCCAAACTTGAAATCACTAAACTGTTCAGCTTTTAGTGGTTCCATCAGTTGCATGAGTTCACAGAAAGGCTGCATTGTAGTAGAAGAAAACTAACACAGAGAAGGAGGATGTTTAGAGATCTTCTGTCAGGCAGAGAGCTATTCAATCAGCTCATTTTCATACTGCTGGCAAAATTCTCTACCTAGACAAATCCCATGTTTCCAGAGTAAGGGCAGAAGCTTTTCTGTACCACAAACACGATTAGCACCTGAGACACGCTTGACTGGCTGTTTGCTATCAGCTTCCAAAGTGATTAAACAAAATCTGCCTGCAACTTCGTAATAAACAAGACAGACAATTGTTCACATCAATGCTACACTAAGTGTGTTATTGTCGGGGCTGAGGCAAACTTGACATAGAAAGATAGCATTTTCTTGGCCATTACTTAGACAATTAACACTTTTTACTTTGACTGAAATGAATCAGGACAAAGTGCTTCTGTACTGCGTTTGGGCTCTGAAGTGCAGCAGTCATGCAGCTATGGGTAAGGTCACTGATTAATGTGGTTCTTAAAGTCAGACAACTATCCATTACGGCTATCCTACTAGCATGCTGCCAGTTACATTTACATGTGGTTGGAGAATGGACCTGGTCTAGCTTGAATGATACGGAACTCCAAATGCTTTTAAAAATAGCATGAAGAGGTGAAAACTTACTCAAAGCTTCTTCTTTTTAAAGCAAAACCAAAATAACTCTGTGTAAAAGCTAGTATTTATAATGAACAAAAAATTATGCTACTGCTAGGAATTTATTTTTTTTTTTTTAACTGTAGCTCATCACTAAGAGCATGCATCTGTTGAAGATTTTTGCTACATGCTCAAAGCCACAGAATCTGCTTAGATTTGCCATGACAGAAAATGTTAAGTAAAACTTACCTTGAGGCAGTTTGCTGGATACAGTCAAAGCTTCCCTGAGGGTTATCTTTGCCAACATTTGACAAGTAGAAGTTAAATGTATGCGATTCATTTGGGTGATCAACTTTGGGAATTTTAATAAGCTAAAAGGAAAAGAAAATGTTTATGTAAGGACTTCCATCTAAATTCCTTCGCTTGTCATTAGCTACAATATAAAAGTCTTCTTAGAATTTACTTCTAAAACAGAAAATGTTTCAATTTCAAAAGTTTTAGCATGTTTTCAGTTACATCACCAAAAAGTCTGAATTGGCATAACTCTACCTCTGAAAACAGCACCAGCTATATGCAGCAATTGTATTTGTACTAGAAAAGCTACAGTCATTCAGCACCCAGTTCAGCTGAGCATTCAAGTAGGAAATGGTCTCTTCTGATTTAGTAGAATTAACATGCATGTGCTTAACTTTATATGCAAGCGTCTGAGTACAGTTAAACAGACTGAAGATCAACATAACAGAGCAAAACAACATGCACAGACCAACTTTGTGATTTATGCAGTCCTAATAAGGCATGTACTGGAGTCAGATACAAGAAGAAACAGTAACACCCAAACTGCAAGCCTAAAGTTTCTTAAATTATCAAACATGAACAACTTCAACAGATAACAAAAGCCTTTTTGCTTTGCTTAGCTCTGGATTCAGTTATTTGCACAAATGTGACATGTAAATAGTTTTTGGTACATTTAGTCAGAAACAACAAAACTCGATTTCCTTGGCTGAGCTAATTATTTAGTAAAGAATGTGCCACATTCTGCTGGAGCTGAAAAATGTAAATATGGGAAATTGCTAAAATGTTTATTGGCAGACACAGATTTTTCAATGTGTTGTTTTTTTTAAAAAAAGCACTTTTATAAAATAGCCCTTAAGCACACACACGCACACACACGCACAAAAAGCTGCCATTCAAACACTTTACTCTGAAGGTAAAATTAGCTTGCATGAAGTCGAATAAGATGTTCTGAAATTTGCTTGTTCTGAATTTTTGGAAAAATACGGAATATTTTGTATATTGAATTGTATATAAAATATGGAATTTTATACACAAATTATAAACAAGAAAAGTTTTGAAAAACAATATTCAATAGTCTTAGAAATCTTTCTGTTATCATTTTGCTTATGAAATCATCCAGTCTTCACAAAAGTCAAGATCATTCGCACAAAGTACAGATAATTGAGTCTTTCAGTTTTATATTTTAATCATCAGTACTGCCAGAGCTTAGCAACAGCTTGTTGCAGTGGCTGGACACGGAGAAAGACAAGGCATCTGAATGCTATATTCTTTTACTCAAGATCTAAAGTAGTTTTCTCAAAAGAGCAATGTAGGCATTTGAAATAAGAGATAAAACAAGATACCAGATGCATAATGTCGGATTATATATGTAGCTTTACCTTGTGACTGTTAAGAAGATTACTACAGAGTAACCATCAACCTAAAAAGATCATAGGGACACAGATGACACTAAAATTCTACATTCTATAAAATTATCACTGACAGAATGTTTCCATTTACTGATTTTATGATACACAGCAGGTGTGTATGCATGGATTCGACAGCATCATATGCAGTGGATTGCGGGTTCTATCCTTTGTAGAAGACACGATGTGTTTTTAGCCTGATGTAGTTTCTGGAAAAATGGTAAATATGTAACATAATTTGTCAAAGGCTGCCCATCTCAAATTGCAGCCAAACAGAAGCAAGTAATTGTTGCTGCATATGCTTGCGCTTCATTCTCAAAATGTTAGGACAAATCTTTATTTTCTATTAATCAGCTAAAAGAATCTAAATGCATGCAATGGCTGTAAGAAGTAATACCTACATCAGAATATCTGCACCTAAAAGTTTAGAAGAATACATTTTAAAAGATATTTGTTGCTGTTCCACTCCCTTCAGCAAAGTATCATTTATTCTAGATGTTGAGAAAGACATAGACAAAGTACAAAGAAAAAATAAGTTTGTCTCCCTGCAGATAGAAATATACAAAGGAAATCACCATTTGAGTTTGCTGAAATTGAAACCCCAAATCTTCTTAAGGCTTCCTCTCATTCCCTCCCACCCACTTTTGTAAGAAAGTCACTAATGATGGCTTTCAAATTTAATCAGAAAGGCTTTAAACTAGAGTTGCTGAGGGTGGGGGTCCTCAAATCACTGCACTTTGAGGCTGACAATGGTAATGGATGCCCTGGGCTTGGAGTAGGATCATAGGCCAGTAAGACAGCACATCCAGCAAGACAGCACATAAAGTTCATGATAAGGGAACTCTAATTGGTAAATCAGCCTAAATGGGAGCCCAAATCAAGCACCTATACAGCAAAGAGTGGAGCATGGGGAACAAGCAGGAGGAGTTGCAGGCATGTGCATGCCTACAGGGCTATGATGTTCATGACATCACTGAGATGTGGTGGGATGACTCTTACGACTGGAATGTAGGAATAGATGGGTATAAGCTATTTAGGAAACAGAGGCAGAGAAGAAGGTGAGAGGGTGTTGCCCTCTACATCAATGACTAGCTGGAGTCCATGAAGCTCCACCTGGGGATAGACAAAGAGCTGACAGAGAGCTTATGAGTTAGGGTTAAAGGGAAGGCAGGGGAGACATCATACAGGCTGCCTGATTGGGAAGACCAAGTGGATGAGGATCTCTATAAACAGATAGGAGCAGCTTCATGTTCACAAAACATGGTTCTCATGGGGGATTTCAACAACCCTGATGTCTGTTAGAGGGACAACACAGCAGCGCACCAGAAATCAAAGAGGTTCCTGGAATGTGTTGATGATAACCTCCTCTTCCAAGTAGTACAGAAACCCACAAGAAAAGGTGCTATGATGGACTTTTTCCTCACCAACAAGAACGAACTGGTGAGTAACATGAAGCTTGCAAGGGCTGCCTTAGCAGTAGTGACCATGAAATAGTGGAGATCAAAATTCCCAGGGTGACAAAGAGGGTGCGCAGCAAGCTTGCAACTCTGGACTTCAAGAGAGCAGAACCTTGAACTCTTGAGGGAACTGCTTGGCACAGTGAATTGGGAGAAAAGTTCTGGAGGGAATAGGGGCCCAAGAAAGCTGGTTGGTATTCAAGTACCATTTCCTCCAATCCCAGAAGCAGTGTATCACGAGAAAAAAGAAAGCAAGCAAGAATGCTAGGAGACCTCTGTGGATCAACAAGGAGCTCCTGGACTTAGTTAAGCTCAAAAAGAAAGTCTATAGGGAGCAAAAGCAGGAACAGGTTACCTGGGAGGACTACAAAGAAGCTGTCTGAGCAGCCAGGGATCAAGTTAGGAAAGTAAAATCTAGACAGAATTGAATCTAGCAATGAACATAAAGGAGAACAAGAAGAAATGCTACAGGTTTGTTTTTTTTTTAATCAGTGTTAAAAAGAAGGTCAGGGAGGATGTGGGTCCTCTCTGGAAGGAAATCAGAGACCTGGCCATGAGAGATATGGAGAAGGTTGAGGTGCTCAATGACTTCCTGGCCTCAGCCTTCACTGGCAAGGGCTCTAGTCACACCACTCACGTTGCAGAAAGCAATGGTAAGAAGTTAGATCTGCCTGCTGTAAGTGAAGATCAGGTTTGAGATCATCTAACGAATATGAGGGTGCACAAGTCCATGGGACCCAATGAGATCCGTCCATGCATTTTGAGGGAACTGGTGAATAAAGTTGCCAAGACATTATCCATCATATTTGAAAGGTCATGGCAGTCTGGTGAAGTCCCCACTGATTGGAAAAGAGAAAACATAACCTGCATTTTCAAGATGGGAAAAAAAGAAGATCCAGGAAACTACAGGCCAGCCAGTTTCACTTTTGTGCCTGGTAAGATCATGGAGCAGATCCTCTTGAAGGCCCTAGTAAAGCACATGGAAAGTAAAGATGAGGTGGCTGGTGGTAACCAACATGGCTTCACCAAGGGCAAGTCATGCCTGACAAATTTGGTGGCCTTTTATGATGAAGTTACAGAGTCAGTAGACAAAAGAAGAGCAACAGACATCATCCACCTGGACTTGTGCAAAGCATTTGACACTGTCTCACATGACATCCTGGTCACCAAAATGGAAAAAAAAAAAATAGATTTAATGAATGGATCACTTGCTGGATAAGGAATTGGCTGGATGGCTGCACACAGAGAGCTGTGGTCAGTCTCAATGTCCAAGAGAAGACCAGTGATGAGTGGCATTTCTCAGGGACCGGTGTTGAGACTGGTGTTATTTAACTTCTTTGCAGGCAATGTGGACAGTGTGATTGAGTGAACCCTCAGCAAGTTTGCAGAGGACACCAACTTTTGTGGTGCAGTTGACAAGCTAGAAGGAAGGGATGCCATCCAGAGGGACTTGAAGTGGCTTCAGAACTGGGCTCATGCCAACCTCACAAAGTTCAACAAGGCCAAGTGAAAGGTCCTGCATCTGGGCCAGGGCAATTGTAAGTGAAGATACAGGCTGGGTAGAGAGTGGTTTGAGAGCAGCCATTCAGAAGAGAATGGATTGGGGGGTGATGAAAGATGTGATGACCTGGTAACGTGTGCTTGCAGACCAGCAGGCCAACTATATCCTGAGTTGTATTGAGAGAAGTATGACTAGCAGGTTGAGGGAGGTGATTCTACTCCTCTACTTTGCTCTTGTGAGACTCTACCTGGAGTATACTGTGTTCAGTTCTGGAGCACCCAACAAAAGAAAGACATGAAGTTGTTGGAGCAGGTCCGGTGGAGGGCCTCAGAGATGATCAGAGGGCTAGAGAATCTCCTCTCAGAGGTCTGGCTGAGAGATCTAGGGCTTTACAGCCAGCAGAAGAGGCTCCGAGGAGTCTTTGTTGCAGCCTTCCAGTAGCTGAAAAGGGCCTACAGGAAAGTTGTGGAGGGACATTTTATAAAGGCAGGTAGCGACAGGACAAGGGGAAACGGTTTTAAACAGGAAAAGGGTAGATTTGGCTCAATATTAGGAAGAAGATTGGAGTGATGAGACATTGAAACAGGTCACCCAGTGAGGTTGTCACTGTCCCGTCCCTGGAAGCATTGAAGGCCAGGCTGGATGGGGCTCTGAGCAACCAGTCTAAGAGGTATCCCTGCCTAAAGCAGGAGGACTGGAACTAGATGATCTGA